ACACCCAGGGGCTGACACACAGCGCTGTTCTCATCACAGATAACGAATTACATGTTCCTACTACCTTTTCAGACACTAATAGGATCTCATAATTTCACGGAGACACTTGATACAATAGGTAGTTTATACAGCAAAGCAGAGGAGACATCCATGCCTGATGCATCCATGCATCAGTCTGTGTCAGAACCCCCACCCCTTCCACTGACCACGGCTACTGGGGCACGCCCTGGATGAAGTCATGGGGACGCCCCTGTCCCTTCACAGCTCAGACACAGGCTCTGGGAAGTCTCAGAGGACTCGCAGCTGGGCAGAGGAGTGACCGCTAAGATCCTCCAAAGAAGACGAGGAAGGATGACCCTGAGGAGGGAAGAATGTTCCCAGACACAGGGTGGGGTGGGGATGGTCTAGAACGGATCGCTGGGGGCAGGAGGGGAGAACACGGCCATCTCAACTGTGAACCTCAGATTCTCTGGGAATGAAATTTAGGATTCAGGTCATCAGGAATATGGAGGACAGATTTGGTGACACATATCAGTTCCCTCATTGAGTTTCTCTGTCACTGTGCAGTCAGTGGTCAGTGTGAAGCCCAGGCTCCCGACTCTTTCCAAATCTCCCCAGGGGACATCAGGGTGACACTGGGGCAGGAAGAGAGAGGAAGCTGAGTGGCATGAAGCACCTTCTCCACCTAATGGGCCTGGGAGGCATGAAAAGCCCCAAGGACACCACCCTCCAGCCCAGGAGCCCGTGGGGGCCGTGTCCTGTGAGCATCCCCACCATGGCCTGGAAGGTGCTCCTGCTCGTGCTTCTCGCTTACAGCTCAGCTCAAAGGAGGGAACTCTGCATTCTTGGGGGACACAACAAAGCAGGGTCTCGGGTGATCATGTTTGTCATAACAATACCCATGTCTTTCTTGTTGGTTTTCAGTGTGGATTCTCAGACTGGGGTCACCCAGGAGCCATCATTGTCTGTGTCTCCAGTAGGGACAGTCACACTCACCTGTGGTGCTAGCTCTGGGTCAGTCTCTAGTGGTAACTACGCCAGATGGTTTCAGCAGACCCCAAGCCAGGCTCCCCCCACGCTCATCAACAACATAAACACTGGCTCCCTGGGGTCCCTGAGCATTTCTCCAGATCTATCCCTGGGATCAAAGCCATCCTTACCATCACAGGGGCCCAGTCTGAGAACAAGAGGTCTATTGCTGTGGAGTACCTCACAGTAGCAGTTATTTTACACAGTGTTCCCTTACACAGAGTAGTGGAACTAACACCTCCCTGGGCTCCTCCTTCCGGGGAAGCTCACCTCTGCTCTGAGTGAATCCAAGCCTAATGCGGGGCTCACATCTGTTGTCTCTACTGCATACGGGACCTGAGCTTCCTTGTAACAGCCATGTCGCCTTCCCCCATCTCTCACTGAGACTCACCATCGCCATTATGTCTCACCTGTTCCTCTCCCAGAGGCAGAGAGCTCTTCTCAGGGAGGAAACCTCCCAGTGGAGATGCTGCAGGTGTGGACAGTGGTTGGTACCGGCCGTGCCCAGCTCTGAGTCCTGGGAACAATTGGTGATGTTTCTTCTCTAAATGCTTTAATCAGGATTTTGAGGTACAAAAGCAGCATGCAGAAGTGAACGGCAATGTACACACTAGCAGTAAACCATCAATAATTAAAAAGAAAACAAAAATTAACAATACAAGTGCAAAGGCATTTATAATGGGCCTGCTTGGGGGGCTTAGTTGGTTGGAGCATCAGCCCACATGGAGAAAGGCAGCGGGGTGATCCTGGGCAGGGGACACACTGAGGGCACAGGCTTGTCCTCAGTTGGGAGCTTATGGCAGAATACTGGCTGACGTTACTCACATTGATCTCAATCTCTCTCTATGTCTCCCTCTATTTTCCTCATTGTCTAAAATAAACAATCATTTCACTGTGTGAGGACTTTTTAAAAAAACAAAATAAAATAAAAAATGTATGATGGCATCCAAATTAAGAAACACTGAAACACAACTCTAAAAAACTGAAGGTTCTGTAAAAATGAGAGGTACTGACTATCCTGAGATACATGGAGGCCAGAATAAATGAACACACATCTAGTTTATGGTCAGACACTCACTATCAGCCATCCCCATACATATTTACACATTCACGGGACAACTGGAGAGACATCCACCTGCAATGAAAGAACAGGTAGGACATCTCAGCAAAGAAGTAGAAACCATAAGAAAACCATAAAGGACATTGGAGCCCTGGGAAAACATTGTTCCATGTCCACGTGGCCTGCCTGCAGCTGAGGGAAGAGAGGCATATGGAGCTGGTTTGATGTGAAGACACCAAACCTGGGCTCAAATTAGAGCCCCTCCCTCCTTTCCAGTCCCTAAGCTTAAGGCTGCCTGAGCACCCTGGGTCCCTGGGACACAGTAAAAGGTGTTGAGATGCCAGGTGAGGACACAGGTGTGGCAGGAACTCCAGGCACAGAGTGGTCCAGACCCCTGGCTGGGTACCTGCACCTTCAGGAGTGAGGTCAAGGATAGTAGGGTTTATCCAAGGGAAAAGGTGGGACCAGAGTTCAGGAGATCTCTTAATAAGATAGGAGAGGATGGGGGATTGTCTGCCTTGGCTGGGGAATTGCCAATCCTCCTCCAGGGTAAAGTGGGTCCGTGGATGAGACACTCTGACAGCAGACACTGCTCAGGGCCCTGAGGACTCCTGGGAGTGGATCATTGTGTCCACAGGCACTGACTGTGCCCCGCCACACCCTCCTGCAGCTCTCCAAAAGTCCAGGGTGGGGACTGGGTAGAGGGGCAGCAAGAGTGGGTGCTCTCCAATCTGTTCCAGTGTCACACCCCCTGTGAAGCTCTCAATGAGCCCAGAGATGAGGTCACCTTCTCCTGAACAGGGAGCTCCAGACCCACAGGAGGTGCCATGGCAAAGGTCCCCATGGCCCCAAGGCAGGACCCCAGCTTTCCTACCTGGGACAGCACAGAAGCACCTTCCAGGGGGTCCAACTTGACGATCCTGATCCAGGTCTGCGACCAGAACCTGTGTGATCACCTCTGGGCTCCAGTCTGAGGCTCAGGCTGCACTTCATCATTGGAGAAACAGTCACAACCCCAATGCCACAAAGAGCTCCTTCTCCATGTGGACACATGGTCAAATCCGCACTCTTCTCTCCTGTCTGACCCATTGCTCCCCTGTCCCTGCCCATGAGCAACATCAGCTCAGTTTTGGGCTTGTGCTGTCCCTTGTGCTACTAAAACCAGAGCAGCCAGGCCTCGACTCAGTCCATCCTTAGAAAGTAAGTGGAAACATCTGCTTTGGAGTCACTCGTCTCCGAACTCAAAATTCTTTTATACCGAAAAGCAAAATACCTGCCGAGTGGCTGGGTGGGGAGGAGGACAGAAGTGCATCGTGTGTGACTGAGAGAACCAGGTGGCCCATGCCCAGGGCCCTGTGTGTCCCCTGGTGCCAGCCTGGGCTCCCCTGATAGCTCCCTGAGCTCTGAGACCTTACAGAACCTGGGTCTCCCTGTCCCCTGAGATCAGACCTCTGCAGGGCCCCTGCATCCCCGGGGCTGGACAAAGCCTCCCATGGAGGAGAGGCTCTCAGACCCCTGAGTGCTCACTGTCCCAACTCAGTGTCAGGACTTCCAATGCATTTCCCTCTCTAGTAGTTTGGGTAGAGGGATGTCTGATAAATGTCAGTCATTTGAGCATGGATTATATAAACTTCAGCCTCATTTGCAGACAAAAACTTGATTCTCTGTTTCATAATAGCTTTTGCACGGCAAAAAAAAGTAATTAGACTCTAATGTCTCAAATGTATTAGACAGTCCCAAGAAAGTAATGCATCACCAGGCTGACAAAAGGCCAAAGGAAACCCAGAGCAGTAAGGAGGAGAAGAACACACGATTCCAGACAACGATGAGTCTCATGCACAGACAGGAATCACAGCCACAGCCTGTGCAATGGGGGATGGGGACCAACAGGAGACCCTCCCCACAGCAACAGCAGGGACATAAGTTAACCTGTAAGAATGAGCAGTGCACAGGTGTTCCCAGGTGGCCCTGAAATATCTAGTAACAAGTTCTGTGATCCATGTCCTGTATTTAACTCTTCAGATGTCATTAGGGATGTGAAAAATCAGTGTCTGGGCCCAATCCACAGTGCAGGGACCTACTCAAGGGACTGTCTTAGTCAGTGACAGCAGATAACATCCAAGTGCAAAAGTCATCCAACCCTGCAGGACTGAGAGGATCAGGAGGCCTGGAGCATGTGGGCTGTGAAGATAGCAGGGGGTGCTGTTGACTGGACCTGGGAGGACTCAGTTCTGGGACAAGACAACTAGGATAACAGTTTTATGAACCTTGCCCACTCAAGGAAGCAGTGTCCTCACAGTGTGTGACAAGCTCTGTGTTCCACGTCCTGTATTTAACTCTTCAGATGTCATTAGGGATGTGAAAAATCAGTGTCCCTTGGGGACCCTGCCATCACCAGGGTCCCCAAGAGCTACATGAGTCCTGAGGTCTGACTCACACCCTTGCTTCACATTCATCTACCCATTCAAGGAGTTTTTCCCCCTGATGTGCAGACAAACAGGGTTAGGTGGAAATACACACAGAGGAAGCTAATCTGCATGAAGAAACTCGGCCCATCAGTCGCTGGAGACAGACGAAATATCCTTGGGGATGGGAAAGTCTCAGCTCCTACAACAAGGCCTGAGCAGGAAAAGTCCTGGGGCTTCCCCATCATGGTCCAGATCCCTCTGCTCCTCACTCTCCTCACTCCCTGATTAGGTGACAGAGGTCACTCTGCTCATTCAGTGCCTGAGTAGCTCTATCTTCCCTAGTCAGTGTGAGGTCCCAGCATTTCCTCTTTCCACATCACCCAAGGGACATGAGGATGACACTATGGCACCAAGAGAGGAAGCTGATTTGCATAAAGCAGCTCTTCCTCCTAATGGGTCTGGGAGGCATGAAAAGGCCCCAAGGACACCACCTTCTACCTCAGGAGCCTGAGGAGGCCGTGTCCTGTGAGCGTCCCCACAATGGCCTGGAAGGTGCTCCTGCTTGGGCTCCTTGCTTACAGCTCAGGTCAAAGGAGGGAACTCTGCATTCTTGGGGGACACAACAAAGCAGGGCTCAGGGGTGATCTTGTCGCCTATAATAAAACCTTGTCTTTTCTGTTGGTTTTAGGTGTGGATTCTCAGACTGTGGTCACCCAGGAGCCGTCACTGTCTGTGTCTCCAGGAGGGACAGTCACATTCACCTGTGGCTTTAGCTCTGGCTCAGTCTCTACTAGTTACTACCCTGGCTGGTACCAGCAGACCTCAGGCAAGGCTCCCCAAACACTTATCCATGCGACAAGCTACCGGATCTCTGGGGTCTCTGAGCGCTTCTCCGGATCCATCTCTGGGAACAAAGCCATCCTCACCATCAACGAGGCCCAGCCTGAGGACGAGGCCGACTATCTCTGTAGTCTATACATGGGTGGTGGCATCTACACAGTGATGTGACCCCATGGGGAAGTGCAACCAAAACCCCTTCTTGTGCCCAAAATGGCTCAGCTTTAGTGACAAGGAAAGAGACAGGGTGGAAATGGTCAGCACATCAAGGGAAGGGGTTCCAGGCCCCATTTCCACATCCAGTGGCTCCTGTGCATGTGCCTCCTCCAGTCTCCCCCAGGGTGTGCCCATGTGTCCCATGTGACCCTGGCACAATGGGCTTCCTCTGGTCCCCTCTGCCTAGATCCATGATGGGATGAGGGCTGAGTGCAGACACATTAACCATCAGACAGACCCACAGCCCCCACTGCCCCTTGTAGTCCTGCCTGTGTTCCAGGAGCTTTAACAAGATGTACTCTCATGTATTGATTTCACCCTGTAGACGTTGTGAATGTTTTATTTAGCATTTCAGTGAGAATGTCCCAGGGAGCTTGCAGGTTGTACTGGTCCACTCTAGGCCTCCTGTGTCAGAGCTGTGTGTTTGTGAGCAAAATCTGTATTTTAACAAGTCACTTACACTTTTTTATGAACACTAAAGTTTGAAAACTGCCTCTACCTCTATAATTATAAAAGCATTCTTGGACATTTCTCTTTGATATTTAATATAGTTAAAATCGAGGTCACAATGTCTCCTAAATCAATCTTTGTATCCAGGAACCTTTAGAAACAGATTTAAAATCTCTGATCATCAATGAAAACTGTGACTTGATTTCTTTTATTCCTTCTTTTCAAATTGAAAACTACAGCCAGAAGTTGAGAGGATTTCCATGACTTACATGAATACTGATGCTCTGAGGTGACTCCAGTTTAGAAGTGGCTTCCAGAAACACTCCTCCCAGCCCTGGGCTGCCTCCCCGGTGCAGGGACAGGGGAGGGGCTGCAGGCAGTGTCTCCACACCAGGTTCCCCAGGGCACCCCGCACTGGGCCGTGAGGGGAGAAGCAGTGAGTGAACCTGTCCTGTTATTAACACTTCCCATCTTTATTAAGAACATCTTACAAAAACGTTGTATCAAGGCTACACAAAATACAAGAATAAAGCATCATATCTAGTATGTTGGGAATATGTATACTGGTTGTGCTCATTTTCTGTGATGTTTATTGCATTACTGGATTCCTGGGCTGGTTCTATGAACAGAAAAAAGGTACATTGGGTATTTCATGAAATTGAAATCCAACCTGCAGTTTAGTTACTATTATTTTACGAAAGTTATCTTCTTAGGGTTTAAACACAACCCTAGTAATGCCAGAATGTAATGCCAGAGAAAATGTGAATGGAAGTTATGCAAAGACTTATTTATACTAACTTTCTTCTGGGAGAGCTGCAAGGGCAGCAGCCCTGTGAGGACAGTGGTGGCCCCAAGGCTGGACTCGTCAGTGGTGAGTCACTGGGGAGCGCAGGTGACAGGGTGTCCCATGCAGTTGGGCTCCAAATGGCTGAGAATAATCCTTTTCGGTTCCATCTACATCATGTGGAAGTGTGGAAAATGAATTTTACACTCAGAATCCCAGCCTGCTGTGAAGAGGTGACAAGGAGCTACACGCAGACGTGATCAAGTTACAGACCAGGGGTTTCCACAGTGAGGCCCACGGGCCAAATGTGCCCCAGGATGGCTGTGAATGGGGCCCAAAACAAAATCATAAATTTACCAAAAACTTTAGGAGATTTTTGTGATTATGTGTCACAATGTCACATAAAATCAACGTGTGTTCACTCTCACTATACATATGCATGCGTGGCTTCAGTTACCATTGCCAGATGATTGTAGAAGGTCATGAAAAGAGCCACTGCATAATAGGGTTACAATGTGAGGACCGTGTTGCTTATCTGCAGCACTGGATAACAAGTAAAGTATGCACGAACCCTTTTTTGCTGATCAGTTGTCTTTAGTGTTTGTGTATTTATGGGTGGCCCTAGACTACTCTTCTTCTTCCAGTGTGGCCCCGAGACACCAGAAGGTGAACAGCCCCCTTCACAGGTATCACAGGAACACGCTCCTCGTGGGACAGCACAGGGACTCGCAGGACCATCACTGCCCTTCATTCCCACTCACTGGGACTCACCTGAACTGTCACTTTTTCACGGGAAGAACAGATGGCTACCTGCTACTGAGTTACAGTGCTGAGGCTTGGGGTTTTGCGTACTGGGGCACACAAAGGTTCTTGGGGTGCACTTACGCACTGCAGGGGCTACTTGTCTCCAGTTGAAGAACAGAGCTACCTCTGACACTATAGGGGGGAGGGGCAGCATGAGCAGCCACTGGACAGGGCAGGCAGGGGACTCAGGGCTGACTCTGGACACAGTTAACAATGCTGGAGGTGTCATTGTGGGTCAGGACCCTGGTGGCAGCCCCGGCTCTGGGGGCAGGGAAATAAAAACCGATGGAAAAAGAGGAGAGCAGCACAAACACAGGATTCTGTGTCTGTGCAGGGAAGGGTGTCCAGTCTCTGTTATCTGCCTCCACACCTGCTCATCCACATCCTTTGTCACCCCCACTGCCTCCTCCCAGGGCAGGGTTCCAGGGGGTGGGCTCTCTGCTGGTCACATGGCTTCAGGAGGCCGCACTCCCTCCAGACACTGAGACACTGTCCTGAAATGCCCTCATCTGGTTTGAAGAAATCAGCGTGGTGCATCCTGCTCCTCACTCACTCATTCAGTTGTCTCCCTGTTGCGCCAAAAGCAATGTGTCTGAAAGAGGGAGCAGAACAGCCTGGGGTTCAGACAGGAAGGGGACACGTGTGGAGCTCACACCCCTGAGGCACCCTAAGAACAGGGGGTCACAAAGATGTGAAGCACAGCATAGGGAGTGTGGTCAGTGATGCTGCCCCAGTGGGGACAGGGCCCCGTGGGGACTGGGAACATCACAAGAAACACTTTGTAGAGGATCTGATTGTCTAACCACTCGGCTGTGCACCAGAAATCAATACAAAATAGTATCGGAAGTAACCAGATCAGGGCTAATGGATACTGGAAAATACAAAATGAGGGTTTCTAAATCCCACAATGGAGAAAGAACCTCTAAAAACATGTGGAATACCATTCCTAATAATGTTATTTTTAATCATTTCTTGTGTTGATAATATTTATAAAATTAGACAAAAAAAATATTAAATACGTCCAGAGCCAGAAGGAAGTATTGTCGGCATCACACTCAAGGGTAAGTGAGAATCCTTACTTACCCTTGAACACGAGGCGTGAGCTCCTCCCAGGTGTGCATTTTCATGGCAAAGGCAGGAAGAGAAAGCCAAGGCCTGGTCCTGGGGCTAGGGACCCAGCAGGAAACCCTCACAATTACAACAACAGAAAAACAACACCGTGTGTTTCCACCTGAAAGAATCACCCACATAGAACCAGCTATGAACTAACCGGGCTCCCTGAGGAACTTTAAACCTCAAAAGTGACTCAGAGTGGTCATGTACCAGCAACAGACCCAGGGGCCTCACAGAAGGAAACTCAACTATCATGTAATCCTTTACCATCTGGGAACACAGCATTTCATGTAGCTCCATGGAAGTCATTAGTGACCTGAAAAAATGAATGACTCATCCCAGAGTCACAGAGGGGACCTGCTCATTCCACTGCCCTGAGTGGTGACATCAGAAAGACCCAACTGCAAACAGCAGAGCCCTCCCAGGACAGCTGCAGGTGTGAGATGAGCTGGAGGATGTGCCTTCTCAGACCAGCAGGGGGAGCTGGTGGACTGGCCTGAGAATCAGGGCTCTGGGCCAGGCAGGATGGGAAAAGGCTCTACAGGCCCTTGCACACTTGGGCAGGCAGTGTCCTCAGTGAAGTGTGACTGTCCTGCACCTGGTCCCCAGGAGCCACATGAACACTCAGCTCTGACTCACACACATGCTTCATATCTTGACCTCCTCCCCTCATGTAGCCGTTGTCCAGGCCTGATTCACAGGACAAGGTAGGTGGGCAATCACAAAATGAAAATAAATTTCCTTGAAAAAAAGAAAACACGTGCCCTATGGTTGTCCCTGGGCACAGGGTAGGAGACGCCTAGGCAGGGACAGTCTCAATGTCAACAATTAGGCCTCAGACAGCAGAGCTCTGGGGCTTCCCCACCATGGCCTGGATCCTTCAGTCACATCCTCACTCACTGCAGAAGGACTTTGCTCCCGTGGACCCTGAGAGGATACGTGGGGGGAGGCACTGGCACTGCCTTTTCCTCCTGCAATCAGGGCACAGCTGCTGGGTTGTGCCATTAGTTCTGCCACCTTCTAGCCCTGCTTCTGGTCCTGGATTACACAGTGCTGTCCCTGCCACACAGAGAGAGAGAATGTCACCTATACCAACGTTTTAATTCTAGCAGATCAAAGAAGCTTAACTCAAAAGAATTACTGGAGAATTACCCAAAGTATCTCATTTTTCATTGTAGCTGATATTTTCAGAAATGACTCAACATATGAGCAAAAAGAACCCATGTCTCATCAAGAAACCTTCCCCTTGATTCACAGGGAGAATTTGGGCTGAGGCTAGAATATGTTCACCCTTCTGGGTTATGATGGACCTGGAATTGGGGACAGCAGCTATGAAGAGACCGAGGTCTGCCTGCAGCAGTGTGTCTCTCAGAGGTGAAAGCACCTCATGAAGGAAAGTGCTCGCTGAGTCAGGCTGTGTTCCTCAGGACCCACAGGGGACATTGCTCTGTCTCCTTCATGTGTCGGAGGGGCTCCTGGGGTCCTGGGAGAGTCCCTACACCCAGCCTATCATTCCCTCCATCCCACACTGGCTCCTAATCCTTAAAGGGACACACGGTTTCTAGAGGAAGCTTGAGACAGTTTGTACCTGTGGTAAAACGCAGGGTCATTTGCTGCTATACTTGCAAGTGTGTTGTTGATGAAACTGGTAATAAAGGCCTTCATCTTTTTCTCTCAGTGTTTAGGTTGTTATTTCTTCCTGGTCTGCCCTTTCTCATTCATTTCGATGGTGTAGTGACCTATGGGACTGGTATTAATCACACATTCAGCTCTCTGCTTTTCTTGTGTCTTAACACTCTTCGTAATCTCAAAGTACAATGGGTGTACACTTCAAATATCTTTCTACACTATCACAGATACAGTTGAATAATGGGAAAATAATTCGGTGTGAGTATTTTGTCTCCTGTGAACTCAGGTCTCAAACACATAGGAAAGGAAAGGAAAAATGAGCATTCAAGTTCTCTTCCACACACAATTTACAGTGATCCCTCAACTATCGCGGGAGTTACATTCCAGAGACCCCCGAGATAGGTCAAAATCCACGAAGTAGCGGCGTTATATTTATTTTATTATTTATATAATTTCTAAGGCTTTATAAACCTTTCCCACACTCCTATAAACCTTTCCCACTCTCTTATTAACCTTTCCCACACTCTTATAAACACTTCATATGCTCTTAAACACTTTGTACACTCTTAAACCTACGTAATTTAACAACATAAAATTCTATATGGGTGCTCACCAGTGAAGTGCACAGTCATCCCTCGCTATATCGTGGTTCACTTATTGCGGCTTCACTGCATCTCAGGTTTTAAAACAATAAAGTGAACTGCCATATAGCGAGAGACGACTGCACTAGCAATTTGGGAATGGACCCCCAGGCAGAATGTCACTTCCCTCTGACGCACCCACTGTGCGGTCTTCCCCGAAGGCTGGAGACGCTCTGCCTCCTGCCCGTCCTCTGACGTCCTAGATCCCTCGTCCGCCCTTCCCTCCCTCGGCCCCTCAGCCCAATGCAGAGGGAAACAGAGCTTTTAGAAGTTCCATCATGTTCACACAGAAGCATGATTTACAGTTATTTTTATTTCTGATCATAAGATGTAATTTCCTACTTTGCATGTCTGATGTTGTGAAGTATCTCAGGACTTCATGGTGACTTTACTTACAATCTTCGGTTAAAATGAAGCTGTGCCACATAATTGCCGGCTTCTCAGCACAGAGGAGAGCCGCCCTCCCCACCTGGTGGTGCAGCCCTGTGTCCACTCTCAGCCTGGTTGCTCCTCCATTGCGGCTGCTGGGTCAGGGTGAGTCAGGGGAGACCCCGTGCCTTCACTCCCCACCCATGAACTCTGTGGTTTCCCCGTGGACTCCGTGTAGGAGGGGAAAGTGCCTGCTACCCCCTGCAAATTAGAGAAGAATGGTTTTCCCTGAATAAGGAGGAAGTCTTCTAATCTAGGGATGGATGAGATTTGAGATGAACTAGATTGCTGGGACCAGGAGGGAAATACAGTCATCCCATCGTAAAGGCCACAGCCAATTCACAAAGACATTATTCATTAAGGCCACCAGGGACATGGGGGAACTGATTTGGTGACAGAGGTCAACACCCCTCATTCAGGACCTTAGTCACAGTGCAGTCACTTATATATTTGGGGTCACAGCATCTGCCCATATTCAGATCTTCCCAGGGAACAGTGACACTGACAGGATAGGAGACAGGAAGCTGATTTGCATGACACACCTCCTCCTCCTAATGGGCCTGGGAGGCATGAAAAGGCCCCAGGACACCACCCTCTAGCCCAGGAGCCTGAGGAGGCCTTGTCCTGTGAGTCTCCCCACCATGGCCTGGACATTGCTCCTGCTCGGGGTCCTTGCTTACAGCTCAGGTCAGAGGAAGGGACTCTACATTCTTGCAGGACACAACAAAGCAGAGTCTTGGGGTGATCTTGTCTCTTATAACAACATCCATGTCTTTCCTGTTGGTTTTAGGTGTGGATTCTCAGACTGTGGTCACCCAGGAGCCATCACTGTCTGTGTCTCCAGGAGGGACAGTCACACTCACCTGTGGCCTTAGCTCTGGGTCAGTCTCTAGTGATAACTACCCTAAATGGTTCCAGCAGACCCCAGGCAAGGTGCCCCGCACGCTCATCTACCACACAAATACCCGGCCGTCTGAGGTCCCTGACCGCTTCTCTGGATCCATCTCTTGGAACAAAGCCACCCTCACCATCACAGGGATCCAGCCTGAAGATGAGGCTGACTATTACTGCGCTCTGGCCATGGGTAGTGGCACTCACACAGTGATGTGACCCCATGAGGAAGTGCAACCCAAACCTCCTCGTGTGCTCAGAATGGCTCAGCTTTAGTGACAGAAGGGGAGAGAGAGGGTGGAAATGGTCAGCACACCAAGGGGAGGGGCTCCAGGGCCCCATTCCCATGTCCAGTGATTCCTGTCTACATGTCTCCTCCAGGCTCCCCCAGGGTGTGCCCATGTATCCCATGTGACCCAATGAACCATTACAGAGACTCCGAGCCCCCACTGCCCCTTGTCAGCCTGTTCACAGGTCTAGGCTGGCCCAGGAGGAATGGAAAATCACCTCGGGAAACTGCCTGCAGACCCTTCCCAGGACAGACAGATGCCTGGCTAAGATTGGGGTCTGGGGTCTTCCTATCTGTCATAACACGATGGGCTTTTGCTTGAGCCTGACAAGATGTATCAATAACAATGGGCAGCAGAAAGGGCACCCAGCATCCAGCTCTAGCTAATCAGATGCTGACACCCAAACAGCTACCCTTCATGGGTTATTGTGCTTAAAAACCCTGCCCTAAGAAAGATGCAGGGAGTCCAACCTCCCTCACTTGGCTCCACTTCTCCTCTTATTCCCTGCTGATAAACACTGCCCCGTAGCTCGCTGCCTCCACCTGGTTTCTTAACTGACTGCGACCTAACACCTGCCTGTATCCCATGAACTATAAGAAGTTATGCTCTCACCTATTGATTTCAGCCTGTGGACCAAGGGAATATTTTATTAGCATTTAAATGAGAGTGTCATTGGGAGCTTGCAGGTGATGCTGTTTCCCTGACTAGGCCTGCTGAGTGAGATCTGTGTGTTTGTGAGAAAACTCTGTGTTTTAACAAGCTCCCTCAAAAGTATTTCAGGAGTGCTAAAGACTGAAATATATCTCCACTTCTATTATTATAAAATTAATCCTGAACACTGGACTTCATGGAACATAGGGGTTAACTTTTCCTACTGTGTATTCAGGGGATGCCGACATCTGAAATACTTACATGTGCATGTTTTCACTTTCTGTAGACCAGAACTCTTTCTGGCAGTGAAAAAAAGTAGGATAATCATGCACCACATGATTGATCAACAGTATTTACACATGAGGCTCTGGATTTATGAATAGAGACTGCCACCTGGTGAGCTGCAGAAACAAGCTGGGCTCTCAGGGCTTTGGGCCATGACCAGCAGGGCGCACTGGTGGACTGCCCAGGAATGTCTAAACAGTTGCTCAATGAGGATCATTCTCTCAAAAGGAATGTGGGCCAGGGAGCTGGGCCCTGTGATCATGGGTAGAGACTCAGCAGTTATGTTCTTTCAGGCCTGGCAGGGTCTGTTGAACAAAGAACTTTGAATGGTCTCAGCAGGTGCTTCCTCCAGGGCTCTCCCCAGGGATGAAGCCAACCCCATCCTCTGTCTGGGGTATGAGCTGAGCTCTACCACCAGGGCTCAGGAAGGGGATGGGCTGTCCATGGATGGACACACGTTTGCATGGACAGCCCCTCCCCTGGCAGAGGGAGCAGAGAAAAGGAGGCCTGGGCAGCCCAGCCCCACTGTGGGCTCAGGGGCTGTGTGCATCATGGCTGGACCCTTCTCCTCCTACTGCTCCCCTCTCACTGCACAGGTAGGGACAGGACTCTGGGGGCCAGGATAACTACTCAGGTTGCGTCTTCCTTTACTCGCCCAGAGCCTTGACAAACTTGACCCTGAGTACCCGCTCCATCACCCTTGAATGTTCCTGTTTATAAGTTCCCTCTCCCAGCCTGTGGTGGCTCAGCCCCTCCCTCTCTGCATCCCATGGAATATCAGTGAGAGTCCCATGCACCCTGAAAAGTGGATTTGATCTTGGCAGCTTCCACACAGACTGGTTCCAGCAGAAGTCAGGGAGCCCTTCCCAGCATCTCCTGTCCTACCTCCCAGACTGTGACAAGCACTAGGGCTCCAGGGCCTGCAGGAGCTTCTCTGGATAGAAGGACCCTCGACCAGGGAAGGGCCCCTGCTCATCCCTGGGCTACAGCCTGAGGACAAGGCTGGCTTTGCTGCTGTGTCCATTACAGCAGCCCTGATCCTCACACTCTGCCGAGAGTCTGAAGGCTCTAAAGGTTGGTGAAACTATAACAGCACCTGTGCTCCCTCTGCCAGGGAAGTCACCCCTCCTCTGCTGCAATCATGTGTCCCTCATGATGATATCTCTTGTGACTTCTGCAGACAGGACTTGAGTTTCCTCTAAACAGCAATCTGACCTTCCCCTCATCTCTCATTTAGACTGACTGTCACCACCATGTCTCAGCTGTTCCTGTCTCAGCGTCAGAGAGTCCTTTCCAGGAGAAACATCTCCCAGTGGAGATGCTGGAGGTGCGGACAGTGGTTGGGACCAACGGTGCCCGGCCCTGAGTCCAAGGAGGACTCTGGACTGTTTCCCCCCTAAATGCTCTAACTGGGGCTTTGAACCCCAGAAACAATATGTGGAAATGAACAGCAGTGTACACACTAGCAGGAAACCATCAAAAAATTAAGAATAAAACTTAAAAACTAATAATGAAATTTTAAAACCATAATTACATTAAAAATAAGAAGTACTTAAAGATAAAACTAAGGAGCTGAAAGTTTTGTAACAATGAGAAATACAAACCATTCTTGAGATATATGGAGAAGACCTAAATAAATGAGCACACATCCAGTTTATGGTCATACTTTAAACATCAATCATCCCCATATGAACGTGTACATTTTTGGAGACCATTCAAGTGACATCCACCTGTAATGAATGACCAGGTAGGAAATCTCAGCAAAGAACTGGAAACTGTGATAAAATCATAGAGGATGTTAGAGCCCTGGGAAAACACTGCTCCATGTCCACGTGACCTGCCTGCATCTGAGGGAGGAGAGGCATATGGAGCTGGTTTGATGTCAGGAGACCAAAAAGGGGGTCAAAGCAGAGCCCATCCCTTCACTTTCAGTCTCTGAACTCAAGGCTGCCTGAGCACCCTGGGCCCAAGGGATGCAGTACAGGGTGGTGAGATGCTGGGGAGGACAAAGATGTGGGAGAACTCCAGGCACAGAGCAGCCAGGACCTCTGGCTGGGTACCTGGGCCTTCAGCTGTGGGGTCATGGACAGGAGGGCTCATTCAAGGGCAAATTTGGGTCCTGAGATCAGGAGACTTCTTAACAGTTCAGGAAAGGATGGGGGATGGTCTACATTTCCTGGGGAATTGCCGAGCCTGCTCCAGGGTAAAGTGGGTCCAGGGGTGAGACGCTCTGACAATTGACACAGCTCAGGACCACAGGGACTCCTGGGAGTGGACCCTGAGTCTATGGGCACTGACTGTGCCCCTGGCCCTCCCACACCTCCTGCAGCTCTCCAACAGGCCAGGGTGGGGGCTGGGTCGGGGGGGCAGCAGGAGCCAGTGCTCCCCAAACTCTTCCTGTGTCACCCTCCCTGTGAAGTTCTCAATGAGCTCAGATTTGAGGTCATCTTCTCCTGCACTGGGGTCCCCAGATCCACGGAGGTGCCATGGCAATGGGCTTCAGGGCCCCCAGAAGGGCCCCAGCTTTCCTACCTGAGACAGCACAGAGAGAAATCCAGGGGTTCGACCTTGACTGTCCTGACCCAGGTCTGTCGCCAGAACCTGTGTCATCACCTCTGGCCTTCAGTCTGAGGCTCATCGTCAGAAAGATGGACAAACCCCAATGCCACAGAGAGGTCCTGCTCCATGGGGACACGTGATACAATCTGCCCCCGCCCCCTGCCACCTCCTGTCTGACCCATCACTGCCCTGTCCCTGCCCCTGAACCAACACCAGCTCAGTTTTGGGCTTGTGCTGTCCCTTGTGCTACTAAAGCTGGCAGCCAGGGCAGGCCTCCACTCAGTCTCCCCTGAGAAAGTAAATGGAAATATCTGCTTTAGGGTCACTGGTCTCCCAATGCAAACAAAATTTTTTTAACAAAAAGGAAAATTCCAGCTGAGTGGTTGGGAGGGGAGGAGGACAGAAGTGCATCCTGTGTGACTGAGAGAACCAGGCAGCCCGTGCCCAGGGCCCTGTGTGTCTCCTGGTGCCAGCCTGGGCTCCCCTGATAGCTCCCTGAGCTCTGAGACCTTACAGAAGCTGGGTCTCCCTGTCCCCTGAGATCAGAGCTCCTCGGGGCCCCTGCATCCCCCAGGGCTGGGCTAAGCCTCCCACTGAGGAGAGGTTCTCAGACCATTGAGTGCTCTCTGTCCCAGCTCAGCGTCATGACTTCCAATGCGTTTCCCTCTCCAGTAATGTGGGTGGGAGGATGTCGGATAATTGTCAATTTATTTGGGCACGGATGCTGTAAACTCCAGGGTCATTTGAAGATAAAGACTTGATTATCTGTTTTTTAATAGCTTTTGCACTGAAGAAAACAGTAATCACACTCTAATGTCTGAAATGTACTAGACAGTCACAAGAAAATAAGACATCACCAGGCTGACAGAGGAGGGTCGATAATGACCCAGAGCACTAACGAAGAGCAGAACACACAATCCCAGATAACGGTAGACCCTCTCCAGAGCAACAGAGGGACATAAGTTAACCTGTAAGAATGAGCAGTGCACAGGTGTTCCCAGGTAGCCCTGAAATATCTAGTAACAAGCTTTGTGCTCCACGTCCTGTATTAACTCTTCAGATGTCAATAGTGATGCAGAAAATCAGTGCCTCAGCTTCCACCATGCTGCAGGGACCTACTCAAGGGACTGCCTTAGTCACTGACACCGGATAACATTCAAGTGCAAAAGTCATCCCCTTCTGCCCCTTGCAGGACAGCTGGGAGGTTCAGGAGGCCTGGAGCATGTGGGCTGTGAAGACAGTAGGGGTGCTGTTGCCTGGTGCTGGGAGGACTGGGTTCTGTGACAGGACAACTAGGAAAATACTTTTCTGAATCTTGCCCAGTGAGGGAAGCAACATCCTCACAGTGTGTGACTTGTCATCACCAGGGTCCCCAGGAGCTACATGAGCCCTGAGGTCTCACTCCCACCTACTTCACATTTCTCTCCCCCTTCAAGGAGTTGTTCCTGCCTGATGTGCAGACAGACAGGGACAGGTGGACTGACTCAAAACATAGACAAATCTGCATGAATAAGCTCAGTCCATGAGTCTTGCTGGACACAGGCCGAGAGACCTTTGGAGATGGGAGAGTCTCAGTTGATACAACCAGGCCTGAGCAGGCAGAGTGCTGGGGCTTCCCCATCATGGCCCAGGTCTCTCTGCTCCTCACCCTCCTCACTCCCTGATTAGGTGACAGAGGTCACTCTGCTCATTCAGTGCCTGTGTCACTCTATCTTCACTGGTCTGTGTGAGGTCCCAGGATTTCCTCTTTCCACATCTCCCCAGGAGACAGCAGGATGACACTGTGGCTCCAAGAGAGGAAGCTGATTTGCATGAAGCACCTCCTCCTCCTTATGGGTCTGGGAGGCAAGAAAAGGCCCCAAGGACACCTCCTTCCACCCCAGGATCCTGAGCAGACCGTGTCCTGTGAGTGTCCCCACCATGGCCTGGATGGTGCTCTTGCTCGGGCGCTTTGCTTACAGCTCAGGTCAGAGGAAGGGACTCTGCATTTTTGGGGAACACAGCAAAGCTGGGTCTCGGGGTGATCTTGTATCTTATAGCAACATCCGTGTCTTTCCTGTTGGTTTTAGGTGTGGATTCTCAGACTGTCCTGACCCAGGAGCCATCACTGTCTGTTTCTCCAGGAGGGACAGTCACACTTACCTGTGTCCTTAGCTCTGGGTCAGCCTTTAGTAGTTACTACCCCAGCTGGTACCAGCAGACCTCAGGCAAGTCTCCCCGCACGCTCATCTACAGAACAACAAACCACATCTCTGGAGTCCCTGAGCGCTTCTCTGGATCCATCTCTGGGAACAAAGCCATCCTCACCATCACTGGGGCTCAGCCTGAGGGTGAGGCCGACTAACACTGTAGTCTGTACACGGGTAGTTACACTTACACAGTGATGTGAACCCATGGGGAAGGGCTACCAAAACCTCCTCTTGTGCTCAGAATAGCTCAGCTTTAGTGACAGAAGGAAAGAGAGAAAGTGGAAACTTTCAACACAGCAAGTAGAGGGGGCTCCAGGACCCCATTCCCATGTGTAGTGGCTCCTGTGCATGTGCTTTCTCCAGTCTCCCCCAGGGTGTGCCCATGTGTCCATGTGACCCTGGCACAATGGGCTTCCTCTCCTCCCCTCTCCCTAGATCCATGATGGGGTAAATGCTGAGTGCAGACACATTAACCATCAGAGAGACCCAGAGACCACATTGCTCCTTGTAAGCCTGAATGCATTCCAGGAGCTTTAACAAGATGTACTCATGTACTGATTGAGCCTGCAGACAATGGAAATATTTTACTGGCATTTAAATGAGAGTGTCACTGGGAGCTTGTAGGCGATGCTTGTCCCGTCACTAGGCCTGCTCAGTCAGAACTGTGTTTGTTAGCAAAAGAGTGTTTTAACAAGGTCTCTCCTAAAGTATTTTAGGAACACTAAAGTTTTAAATATACCTACACTTCTATTATTATAAAATTATTCCTGAACACTTTTGTGTAACTTTTAATCAAGTTAAATTTGTGGTCACCATGTCTCCTAAATCAACCTTCATAAATCTGAAACGATCAGAAATAGGTTTAAAATCTCAGATCATCATTGAAAACTGTGAGCTGATTTCTGTTTTCCCTTGTTTTTAAATTGAAAACTACAACCACGATTTGAGACAATTTCTAGGACTTATGTCAGAATGGGCCGGGTAGGACACAATGGCAGCTGAACTACAACCAGAAGAGATGGCTGACGTCAAACCAGGGTGCGAGGAGAACCGCCTACGATACGTTGACCCTTTGTTCCGAGGGGACCAATCCCCAGCCCCCACGAAGAGGGCCAACCAAAATAATATTCTGCCATATTCCCTGTTTGCTTGCAGCTTTCTCGGCCCCACCTTGGATACCGGGAAACCCCGCCCGGGCGCGCAAACCCCAATAAAGCTCTACACTGCCTAACCTGGTTGCTAATAGCCATTTATTCCTCGGCAGAGCCTAAGAAAACCTTTCAACTTATATGATTATTGATACTCAGAGACGACTCCTGTTTAGAAGTGGCTTCCAGAAACACGCCTCCCAGCCCTGGGCCCCCTCCCCTGGTGCAGGGACGGGGGAGGGGCTGCAGGCGGTGTCTCCACACCTGGTTCCCCAGGGCGCCCGGCACTGGGCCTCAACGGGAGAAGCAGAGTGTGACATTGTCCTTTTATTTACTGGACTCACCTTTGTTAAAAAATCTTCAAAAGAACTTTATTTCAACTCAACACAAAATAAATTTAAAAGAAAAATCCTTAATATCTGGCATGTTGGAATATATATATTTATCTGTGATTGTTTTCTGTAGCACTTACGGCATTATGGAATCCTGGACTGGTTCTAAGAATGTAAAAAGAATGTATTGGGTATTTCATGAAATTTCAATCCAACCTGCAGTTTAGTTAATGTTGTCTGACCAATGTTAGCATCTCAGTTTGTAAAAATGGAACTAGTGTTTCAAAGCTGTAATGTTAGAAAAAATATGGGTGATAGATATGGAAAAGGTTTTTTTTACTGACATTTTGTCTGTAAGTGCAAAATTATTACAAAATTAAAAGTTTCAAATAACTCACATGGGAATGAAAATATACTCCCTTTTCTCCTGGGAGGGTGAAGTCCAATGCCAGCCCCTGGTGCAGGGCAAGGCTTCTGAGCAGGCAGTCAGCCTTTCACATGCAAACCATGGCCACGTGTTCTATGTTCATGTTCATCTTTGCTAAGAAAAAAATATGACAATATTAATCATCTTCACTTATTTGTATATACCTAATCTATGCAGAACCAGAAAAGCACAATCTCTCATTCATCCAAGGGCTGAAATAAACCATTAGGATTCTATTCCATGAGAATTTCAGGACTGAGTCCCTATGAAGAGCCCCATTGTTCCCACAGTCTCTTCAAGTATAAGCTCCTGGCTGTACAACCAAAGCAACTCCATCTGGAAGCCAACATGCCCTTTTGACTTTTGCAGTATCTTCCCGCCCCCGCCCCCAGTAGGCACAAAGACTTTGTGTTCCTCCCTTGTCTTTATCTGTCTCTGCACCAGCTCTAGTCACAGAGCCTGAGGCACCTGAAGGTGCCCCACCCTTAGATTAAAGACACATTCCTTACCCAGCAGGTAGGCTCACTGGTTCAAAGACATAGCAGATAGCCTGGGGGTGCCTGTGGAAGGCACTGCCCAAAATGCACCTTGAGTGTGACTTCCCTTCATGAGCTCCTGATGGAATGATGCAGTCAGTCTCCTTCTCTGGTCTGTGGGGCCAAGGAAATCTTACATACACTGGACCTAGTCAATCAAAGCAGAAGTAGACTTCCAATGTGAAAAGAAGAAGGCTGACTTCCTACATTGTCAAACTGGGGAACAGACTGGTTTGGAGTCCTTGGGTCCTCATTACCTCCCTGTAGACAGAGCAGATAGGTGCAGAGACCTCAAGGTTTCAAACAACTAAGATACAAACAAAATGGTGGATAGATAGATAAATAGATAGAGGCTCCTAGAAGACCCTTTCTCTCTAGCTGAAGAACCTGGGAGCCAGATGCCTAGCCAGAGAAAATCTTTGGTATGATACCCACCTACTGACTTCCCACACTACAGAAACCCCGACTTGCACCCCCATCCAGGGGTGTCAGCCATAAGGGCCAGGGTGTTGCTCTCCATTCCCTCCCAGCACAAGTTGGCAGTGTCCCTTTGCCACCTGGGACAGTGTGGGTGATTCAGTGGAAGGTGACTCCCTCCCATTAGAGAGTCAACAAGCCTCAGCCAGGTAGGGCCAGTTGAAGCTGGTTAGCACTCCAGTTCTCCCACTCATGACTCTGGCTACCCAGTGGGGACCTGAACTTCAACCTCACCGCTCAGCAATGAGACTCGATACAGGGTACAGGCCAGAGTTAGTCTGCACTCCTGCTCCCATTGCTTGTAACTATGGGAACCAGTGAGGAGCTAAGCCTTGACCACCCAGTGGCACTCAGAGCTCTGAGTAAGGGGTGGGAGACAAGTGAGTGAGGCATGCAGGGGCCTCCAATCCTCCTTGAGTCAGCGCTGCCCTGAAGGGACCCAGTGGGGAGTTGGGAGGCCAACCCACTGAGCACAGCAGCTCGCCTCTTCCCTGTGCTTCCCTCCCTGAGTCCACAGGGCCTGGCTGTGGGTTCAACACTCACCCTAACTTGAAGGGAACCAACTGGTCACAGTCACTGCCCTATTTTCTCGAGGAAGTTGTCAAAGCAGGGGAGTCAGTGCTCCACCTTTGCTGGGCCAGTGGGAGCTGAACATACATCCCCTGACCTCTGTGCTGCAGCTAGCAGGCAGGCGGCCTGATGGAGGACAGAGGAAATGGGACACAGGGACCCTAATGCAGTCTCCCAATGTCCTGGACCCAGTAAGAAATAACACTGGTCACATCTAAAACCAGGAAAATGAAAACTTGAATAAACCAAGAAAGTCTACTGAAACCAACTCAGAATGACTCAGATAATAAAATTGTGTGACATATTTCTTTAGCAATAGTAATAAAATCCATGTAACCAGCAAATACAGACATTTTTGGAAAAAATAAAAAGGGACAGGAACTCAAATAGAAGGAGACATGATAAAGATGCCAAATGGCAATGCAGAACTAAAAAATACCAAAGATGAAGTTTCATAAACCAATGAAGAAATCAAGGATACATAAAGTGTATCAATTACTTTATTTGTTTGTTGTATATTTACAGATTGATTGATTGTTGAAATGAAAACTGGGCTTCAATTGCTACTGAACAGCTCCCACACCATGAGTCATCTGTGCAGGATGTCACCAGGGGGCGCTGTGGGACTTCTCAGAGCTGCAAGGACTGAAACAAACCCAAATGGTTCTAATTCAATGGCACCTGAGCGCACATCCAGGGCCTCAGTGAGAGGAGACAGCAGGTGCTTCCTCTCAAGGGGGAGACTCAGAGCTCACAACGAAGCCTGCCTCCTCCTGAGAGTAGAACTATAAACTGGGCCCAGGACCCAGAACTGGATGGTGCTCTGGGCTCCTATTTGCATAATGCCCAGCAAACACACCCCTCACCCAGGGAGCTGAGGAGGACATAAAGGGACAGCCAGAGAGCAGCCCCAGACTCAGGCCAGGGGATTCGGAAAGTCTCCACCATGGCCTGGACTCTGGTCCTCCTGCTCCCCCTCCTCACCCTCTGCCCAGGTGCATATGGATATTAGCTATGAGCCTTTGGAGATCCTCTGCTTTCCTTTCCTTATTCCTGACATGTGACTGTTTTTCTTTCAGGGTCCGGGTCTCAGGCTGTGGTGACTCAGGAGCCCTCACTGACTGTGTCCCCAGGAGGGACAGTCACTCTCACCTGTGCCTCTAGCACTGGAGCTGTCACCAGTGGTCACGATCCATACTGGTTCCAGCAGAAGTCTGGCCAAGCCCCCAAGACACTGCTTTATCATACAAGCAGTAAACACTCCTGGACCCCTGCCCGGTTCTCAGGTTCCCTTCTCGGGGGCAAAGCTGCCCTGACCCTCTCAGGGGCCCAGCCTGAGGACGAGGCCGTGTACCACTGCTGGCTGGTGTACAGTGGTGTTTGGCACAGTGAGAGACCCAGAGGGGGAAGCAGGACAGAAACCTTCTCAGCACTTATGATACGGGGATGGCAGGATCAGACACACCAGCTCTCAAGAACGCCTATTGTGGGCCATCCATTGACAAGGGAAGGGAAGGGTAGAAATGAATTCCTATGGGTACTTGAGGCCTAAAGTGGAGGAAATACACATGATTTGGGAGGAACTTGTTCTGGAAAAGCAACACCCAATTATTTCATAATCCAGAAGGAATAGGAAGAGCCGGATCAGAGCTAAGGGCTCTGGTCAAACACCTTCCCCCCAGAAAGGAGTACCTCCCATGGTCTACTTTGCTGGCTCCTTTTATATATCACTAAAGGGCATTTCACTGAGTTGTACATAATACAACACACACGGGTTGTATAAAAGCAAAAGTATTGAATATCGGTGCTGGCTTCTGTGGCTCAGCAGATAGATGCTGGATTGCAAACCAAAGGGTCATGGGTTCAATTCCCAGTCAGTGCACATGGCTGGGTTGCAGGGAAGGTCACCAGAACGGGGCACAGGAGAGGCAACTACACATTGATGCTTAGCTCTCTGCCTCCCTTTCCCTTTAGCTATAAATAAATAAATAAATAAAATTTTTATAAAAATTATTGAATATCACCAAGGTCCTCCCAAAAGTTCTCTATGCCAAACCTTTATTAATATCAATATATTATAACCGTAATCTATCGGTATATAACTGTACTTCTGAATTTGAATGCACGCTTTCACTTCTATTTCAATGTATCCAAAATCATAATCAAACGTGGTGCTGACATTTTGGCATGTTATATACTGTTCATGTCCTATAAGAGTTATACAGATAACTTCCCACTGATTAAAAGGGCACACATGTTCGGACGCCTGCTTAATATCATTGTGATTTCTCTATGATGCAGTGTTACAGTAAAGCAAAGGTTTCTTAGTCAAATAAAGAAGTGACAATACTTCGTAATCCATCTTGTTAGTCAGACAACACCGTGTTCGTCTGTGCACTTTATGAAGTCAGGGGAGATGCCTGCCATTGCCACTGGGAACCCCCCGGACGCTGTCCCTGGCATTTCAGTCCACAAAGAGCGAGACAGGGAGAGTAGCTGCACGTGTCAGAGGGAAGTGTAACAGATCCCTTATCGGCATAACCCAAGTCCAAAATCGTGCCAGTGTCTTTGAGCATGCCCCGGACCTGTGTCTCTCAACTCTAAGGTGGGTAAGAACCGTCTATGGATCTCGTAAAATGTGGGTTCTGATTCATGAGTGTGGAGTGAGGGTGGAATTTCTGTATTTCTAAGAGCTCCCAGCCACCCAAAGGGCAAATTCTGTATGGATATGTATATACTTAATAGCAAATATTAGGATCGTACAAAATAAAAAGGAGAACAGCTGGCAGACAGGAGCCTAAGAGGAACCTCTGAGAGAAGAACTAAGGACTTGGGATTAGAGAAAAACCTCCCAGAGCTGCAACCTGGAGCTTCCCTGGGAGGACATATGCAGAGCTGGGAGAGGCTCCTCTTTGTTTGAGAACAAAGCAAAAGCAAACAGAAGAACTCAAAGACCTCTTCTGCACCTGAACTTCCCTCTACACTTGCCCAATTCCCCTGTGGGCTGCTCTTCCAGTCTTCTCTGAGGGACAGGACCTTCTCCATCTCTGACTGAAGCTTCCCTTCTGAGCTCACCGTCCCGCCCCTTTCCCACCATGCCCCATCTCTCTTGGCCCTCCTCAGAGTGCTGCTGACACTATTCCAGACTTTTCCTGCTTGGGGCTGGCACATACCCTTTCCCTTCCCTGACCCTCTCTAATCCCTTAGCTCTGAAGTCTCCTGACCCTGCTCATTCCCTCTTTGTTTATCTCCCCTGGCTACCTTCTTTTTCTACTTCCCAGGTACCCCCTCATTTTCCACTCAGTCCAGAAAACCACACAAGCATGCTAATCTATCCTCATGAATGTTCCCCACTTGGCCCTAGAGCAGGCAGGGGAGGATTCAAGTGGAAAGAGAGGAAACCGCATGGCGAACAGCCTGAAGAGGGGCTCGTGGCTGAGCGTGGACTGGGAACCCAGACACCCATCTCCCTGTGTCTGCTTTGTGCTCACAAGCAGCCGTACCCCCACTAGGGCCCCAGGGGACTCACTGAGCACACAGCCTCTCCATCTCCAAAAAGCCCAGCCTCAACAAGAAGGGCTGAGCTCTGTGTCCTACATGGACAAACACAACCAAGGGTAACAGGACAGAGTTGCGTTGAGTACCCTCCATCCCCAGGATTGGGGTGGGGGGCAGGGGAATGACACAGCATGGAAGCTGTTCACCCTGAGCCTTGTGGTTCCACCATGACCTGGACCCCTCACCAACCTCTCTCACTACACAGGTGGCTGGAGACTCGGCATCAGGATCTGGCTCGTTCACCCTGTGTCTCTCTCCCAACTCTCATGAGCCCACACTGTCAGAACCTGTGACTACACCTGTCACCACCTCTTCTACTGGAAACTGCACCAAGGTGGGTCTTGGGACTGAGTCCTGGAACAAACAAGGACCAGGCGATGCCCACAGACCTCTGGACTGTAGAAGCAATTACCAGCCTGCAGGGGACCTGGCCTGCTTTTCAGGCTACGGTGTCTGGCAACACAGCCTTGCAGAGCACCTCTGGGCTCCACCCAAAGCTGGTTGTCACAGTGACGCCCTACACAGCCTCCTACAAAGTTGCAGCCTGCAGGGAAGTGAGACAGGAACTTCTGGGACCAACCAACACTGTGACCCTGACTATAGCGCCTGACACCCATGGTGGGGATAGCACGTGTGCTAATTTGAGCCCTAACTAGGCCCTGGCACTCAAGTCAGGATGGCTAGCTCAGGAATGCAGCCTCATCCTCCCAAGCTTGGCCCTGGAAGGGCACCCTTGTCAGCCTTCATCAAAGGCCCTGGAGACAGAGTCTGGGATGGGCTGGTCTGAACAGGGACAGAGTCCAGCTGGGTCAGACCAGGGAAACAATAGATACAGAGGTCTGTCCATCCTTAACGTTTTCCTGAACAGGTACTGTGTGTCAGGCTCCTTGTGTCAGGCTCGGGTCTGCGGCTCAGGGTACAGCACTGGCAGACAGGCCAGACAGGCAGGGTCCTCTCCTCAGGACACCATACAGGGAAGCCAGAGTCAACATGTGGTAGGAATAAAGCATATTATGGGGTGTAACAAGTGGAGACATGAACAAAAAAGGAGTGGACACCAGGAAGCATTAGAGGTTTGTAAGGAAGGAAGAGGTAGAAGGTGACGTCAGCTTTATCAGAGTCCAATTTCTAAAATGGTGAAAGGGGAGGTGCAGCGTGAAGGCGGGCGGCCCAGGTGGGGGACGGTGGCATCACCCAGAGGAGATGGATGTTGCTGTGGAGACGGGGGGAGTGAACAAGGGAAGGACCACGTGGGGCAGGGTGCTGGGTTGGTACCTCGATCCCACCCTGTGACAGACACATTAGCAACACCTGCCCACCACGGTTGAAGGTTGCCATGGGGACACTGTCCTTCAGGACAGCACTGAAACTCACTGGACCATCGCTGCCCTTCATTACGACTCACAGAGATTTACCTGAAATGTCACTTTTTCACCAGGAGAGGAGCTGGCTTCTTGCTATTGACTTACGGTGCTGAGGTTCTGGGCCATGTGTGTTGGGGTGCAGGGACATTCTTGGGGTACACTTACCACTGAACAGGCTGCTTGTCCCCAGTTAAAGCACAGACTTACTTCTGACACTACAGCGGGGAGGGGGCAGTGTGAGCAGCCGCTGGACAAGGCTAGCAGGGGACTTAGGGTTGAGGTTGACTCAGACAAGATACTGGAAGTGTCATTGTGGGTCAGGACCCTGGTGGCAGCCCCAGCTCTGGGGGTAGGGAAATAAGGACCAATGGCAAAACTCGAGAGCAATGCAAAGACAGGACTCTGTGTCTGTGCAGGGAAGGGCATCCAGCCCCTCTTATCTGCCTCCACACCTCCTCACCCACATCCCCTGTCACCCCCACTACCTCCTCCCAGGGCAGGGTTACCAGGGGGTGGGCTCTCTGCTAGTCACATGGCTTCAGGAGGCCACACTCCCTCCAGACCCTGAGGCACTGTCCTGAAATGCCCTCATCTGGTTTGAAGAAATCAGTGTGGTGCATCCTGCTCCTCACTCACTCACTCACTGGGTTCCCTGTTGCACCAAAAGCAATGTGTCCACAAGAGGGAGCAGAACAGCCTGGGGTTCAGAGAGGAAGGGGACACATGTGGGGACCACACCCCTGAGGCACCCTAGAGAGTCACAGGGATGTGAAGCACAAAATGGGGAGTATGGTCAAAATGCTGCCCCAGTGGGGGTGTGGCCCTGTGGGGACTGGGAACATCATGAGAAACAATTGTAAAGGATCTGCTTCTCTAGCCACTCTGCTGTGCACCAGAAATCAATACAAAATAATGTCGGCAGTAACTAGATCAGGGTTAATGGAGTCTGGAGAATACAAAATGGGGGTTTCTAAATCCCATGATGAAGAAAGAACCCCAAAAAGGGGTGGAATGCCCTTCATAGTAATATTCATTTGATTTTAATTCTTTCACTGAAAAATAATTGTAAATTTAGACAAAACATATATTAAATACCTCCAGAACCAGAAGGAAGTATTGTCGGCATCACACTCAAGGGTAAGTGAGAACCAGCAGGAGGAACCATGAACACAAGGCGTGAGCTCCTCCCAGGGCTGCTTTCTCATGGCAAAGGCAGGAAGAGAAAGACAAGGCCTGTCCCTGGGTCTGGGGACCCAACAGGAAGCCCTCACAGCGATGACAACAACAATAGCAAAAACACCACCACTGGTCTCAGCCTGGAAGAATCACCCAAATAAAACTGTGACCAGCTATGAACTAACAGGGCTCCCTGTGGAAATTTAAACCTCAAAAGTGACTCAGAGGGGTCACGTCCCAGCAACAGACTAGGGACCTGACAGAAGGAAACTCAACTATCATGTCATCCTTCACCATCTGGGAACACAGCATTTCATGTAGCTCCATGGAAGTCATTAGTGACCTGAAAAAATGAATGACTCACCCCAGCGTCACAGAGGGGACCTGCTCATTCCACTGCCCTGGGTGGTGACATCAGAAAGACCCAACTGCAAACAGCAGAGCCCTCCCAGGACAGCTGGGGGAGTGAGATGAGCTGGAGGATGTGCCTTCTCAGACCAGTAGGGGGATTTGGAGGACTGGACCTGATAGGGCTCTGGGCCAGGTAGGTTGGGAAAAGACTCTAGAGGCCCTTGCACACTTGGGCAGGCAGTGTCCTCAGTAAAGTGAGACTGTCCTGCAGCTGGTCCCCAAGAGCCACATGAGCACTCAGCTCTGACTCACACACATGCCTCTTACCTTGACCTCCCCTCTCATGTAGTCATTGTCCAGGCCTGATTCACAGGTCAAGGAAGGTGGACAATCACACAATGAATATAAATGTCCTTGAAAAAAACATGCCCTATGGTTGTCCCTGGGCATAGGGTAGGAGATGCCTAAGCAGGGACAGTGTCAATGTCAGCAATTAGGCCTCAGGCAGCAGAGCTCTGGGGCTTCCCCACCATGGCCTGGATCCTTCTGTCACGTCCTCACTCACTGCAGAAGGAGTTTGCTCCCAGGGACCCTGAGAGGATACATGGGGGGAGGCACTCTCACTGCCTTTTCCTGCTGCCATTGGAGCACAGCTGATGGTTTGTGCCATTAATTCTGCCACCTTCTAGCCCTGCTTCTGGTCCTGGATTACACAGTGCTGTCTCTGCCAGAGAGACAGAGAGAGAGAGAGTAGAGAGAGTGAATGTCATGTATTCCAATGTTTTCATTCCAGCAAATCCAGAGAGGCTAATGCAAAGGAACTATGGAAAATTATACAAAATATCTCAGTTATGATTATAGCTGATATTTTCTCAGATGACTCTACATATCAGTAGAATCCATGTCTTATCAGGAAAAATTTTCCTCAACCCACAGGGAGGACATTGGCTGAAGCTAGAATATGGTCACCTCTCTGGGTGACGATGGACCTGGAATTTGGGGACAGCAGCTGTGAAGAGGCCAAGGTCCACCTACAGAGTGTGTCTCTCAGATGTGAAAGCACCTCATGAAGGAAAGTGCTCCCTGAGTCACACTGTGTCCCTCAGGACCCACCAGGGTGCTGCCCTTCCTATGTGGGAGGGGCGCCTGGGGCTTGGGAGTGTCCCCACACCCAGCCTATCCTTCCCTCCATCCCACATTGGCTGCTAATCCCACACTGCATCCCACACTGGCTCCTTAAAGAGACCCCTGGTGTCTGGGGAAAGCCTGAGACAGTCTGTGCAAGTGGCAAACCTCTGGGTCATTTGCTGCTAACTTGCAAAAATATGGATGAAGAAATTGGTAATAAAGGCATTCACCTTTTTCTGTCATCCTTTCAGTGGTTATTTCTTACTAGTCTGTCCTTTCTCGTTCTTTCAATGGTCTCTAGTGACACTGTGTCCACACTCAGCCTTGGTCGGCTCCTTTACTGAGGCTGCTGGGTCAGAGCTGAGTGAGGGGAGACCCCGTGCCTTCACTCCCCACATGCCAACTCTGGTTTCCCTGAAGACTCCCCATAAGAGGAGGCAGTGGTTTTCACTGAACAAGGAACAAAATATTCTAATCTGAGGGACAGAGTGAGATTTGAGATGAGCTAGATCACTAGGGCCAGAGGGAAACACAGGCATCTCATCATGGAGGCCACAGACAATTCACAGAGACATTTAGCATTAAGGCCACCAGGGATGTAGGGGAACTGATTTGGTGACAGATGTCAACACTCTACATTCAAGGTTTTAGTCATGGTGCAGTCTTTGGTGTTGGGAGGCAACAGCACCTGTCTCTTTCCACATCTCCCCAGGGGACATCAGGGTGACACTGTGTCAGGACAAGACAGAGGGAACTGATTTGCATGAAGCACATGCTCCTCCTAGTGGGTCTGGGAGGCATGAAAAGGCCCCAAGGATACCTCCTTGCACCCCAGGAGCCTGAGGAGGCCGTGTCCTGTGAGTGTCCCCACCATGGCCTGGACGGTGCTCCTGCTCGGGCTCTTTGCTTACAGCTCAGGTCAGAGGAAGGGACTCTACATTCTTCGGGGACACAACAAAGCAGGGTCTTGGGGAAACCTAGTAACCCATAACAACACCTATATTTTTTCTGTCGATTTTAGGTGTGGATTCTCAGACTGTCGTGATCCAGGAGCCGTCACTGTCTGTGGCTCCAGGAGGGACAGTCACACTCACCTGTAGCCTTAGCTCTGGGTCAGTCTCTAGTAGTAACTACCCTGGCTGGCACCAGCAGACCCCAGGAAAGGCTCCCCGCACGCTCATCTACCAAACAAACAGCAGGCCCTCTGGGGTCCCTGAGCGCTTCACTGGATCCATCTCTGGGAACAAAGCCGTCCTCACCATCACGGGGGCCCAGCCTGAGGACGAGGCTGACTATCTCTGTGCTCTGTACACGGGTAGTTATACTCACACAGTGATGTGACCCCATGGGGAAGTGCAACAAAAACCTTCTTGTGTGGTCAGAATGCCTCAGCTTTAGTGAAAAGGAAAGAGAGAAGTTGGAAATGGTCAGCACAGGAAGGGGACCGGCTCCAGGGCCTCATTCCCATGTCCAGTGGTTATAGTTTACATGCCTCCACCAGTCTCCCCCAGCGTGTGCACATGTGTCCCATGTGACCCTGGCACAATGGGGCCCTGTCCTCCCCTCTCCCTAGACCATGACAGGGTGAATGCTAAGTGCAGACACATTAACCATCAGACACGCCCAGAGCCCTCACT